CTGGCCCAGCGGTCCTTGAGAAGAAGATTTTTAAAGATTTGTTCTATATATTTCTATGTAAAACTTGGATTCCCTATTGTGGCCCCGCCCTACCCCCGGGGTCATGATTTTAACAATTTAATATCTACACTACCCAAGGATGCTTCCACATAAGTTTCAGCTTTCCTGGCCCAGTGGTTCTTGAGAAGATCGATTTTTAAAGATTTGTTCTATATATTTCTATGTAAAACTTGGATTCCCTATTGTGGCCCCGCCCTATCCCCGGGGGTCATGATTCGAACAATTTAATATCTACACTACCCAAGGATGCTTCCACATAAGTTTCAGCTTTCCTGGCCCAGTGGTTCTTGAGAAGAAGATTTTTAAAGATTTGTTCTATATATTTCTATGTAAAACTTGGATTCCCTATTGTGGCCCCGCCCTATCCCCGGGGGTCATGATTCGAACAATTGAATATCTACACTACCCAAGGATGCTTCCACATAAGTTTCAGCTTTCCTGGCCCAGTGGTTCTTGAGAAGAAGATTTTTAAAGATTTGTTCTATATATTTGACTGTAAAACTTGGATTCCCTATTGTGGCCCCTGCCCTACCCCCGGAGGCCAGGACTTTATTAATATCTACACTACCCAAGAATGCTTCCACATAAGTTTCAGCTTTCCAAGCCCAGTGGTTCTTGAGAAGAAGATTTTTTAGTGACCCCACCCTATTTTTGTCTTTTCTTGATTATCTCCCCTTGTTAGGGGACTTGGCCCTCCATTTTAACAATTTAAACTCCCCTTTATCTAAGGATGCTTTGTACCAAGTTTGGTTAAAATTGGCCCATTGGTTCTTGAGGAGAAGTCGAAAATGTGAAAAGTTTACAGACGGACGGACGGACAGCTGGACGGACGACGGACAAAATGTGATCAGAAAAGCTCACTTGAGCCTTCGGCTCAGGTGAGCTATAAATACGTCAGTGAGGTACGTAGTTTGTACAGAAACGCAGATTCAATGTACAGTGTTCAATTTCTATAGACAGCTGTAGTTAATTTTGTGCTTTACTCTCTCTCTCTCTGTATGCTTTACTCTCTCTCTCTCTCTCTCTGGCATTAAGATCAAAATACTCAATAAATCGGTCGGGGAACATTTCAACTTTGAAGGTCACAAATAGGGGACAGGACAGTAGTGGCGATTGACCATATCCCAAGATGGACAGACGCTGAGAGAAAAGGCAAAGAAAAGCTCTGGATGCACAGATTGAAGTCATTCTGATACATTTATTTATAGTCGTATTACCTGCATTCTGCTGTTTATGACTATGCCTGGTTCTCTTGAAGGTTCCATTTTTGTTTTGTTGAGAAATGAGCCAGGTTACGGCATCCCTTACCACATTCTCGTCAATGGTGATAAAATTTGAGGCCTGAGAGAACGACTTCACAACAAAAGCAGTCAACCTGTAATTAGTTTTACTCTTCAAAACTTAAATGATACTTTTTATATCATACATGTAGTTACAGAAATAAAAGTATTCCTATGGTCTACATTAGAATTAAAAAGATATCTTTTCTAATCCAACAAATTTGATAGATAAACATTACCGTAAAACGTTTCAAATTTTTGTTTTCCAAAATGGCATATATTCTTCAAATATTCGTTTGCATTTGAAGCGTAATTAAACTCGATTATAAGTAAACAAATCTTCTTACCAAGTACTACCTGAAGCGTCACTCTTGCCAAAAGCGCTGTATGATCCGTCTGGATGGACATATGTCATCTGCCTCTGGTAACCTGAAATAAGCAAGATCAAATACATGTACTAGTATCTCAAACATATGCCAAAAGTTTTAATTGTCAACATATAGAAATCGCAAAGGAATTCACTTCTGTCCTCCTTCGTCTCAACCCCGGGTTGAACTTTCGATCACGAAATCTTTCTCCAAGCAGTAAAGGGACAACGCAATAGACCGTCCGCTATCCAAGCAAGTCAAAAAACTTGCTTCGATTCCAATGGAATTCTCGCGGGGCCGTCCTACACTACATGGTCAGTAAGAATGGAAGCGAGATACATTTATTTTATAGTTCTATTGGAGTATTGTAAGAAAAAGAAAAATATAACCTTTGATCATGTATTCTTTAGCTTTCTTTTCTAGGTCTGGTGTTAGGTTATTTGTAACTTTTAGGTATTTCTGTACGAATATATTGGGAGCAAAGTTCAGCATGTTCTGTTCACCACATCCATATGGCATCTTCAGTAGCGAATCTAGTCCATTGATTGATGGACCCATCACATCACCTGCAAGATTAAAAAAAAAGATTATAGACATATATCAGTACATATTTCCTTCAGAAAAATCCGTAGAAATTGTTTCATTCACTTTTCTCAAGCTTGTCAGAAGTAATACAAAATGCTCATATTAGTTTGAACAAACGGCAATGAACACCCAAATATATTATATTATCATTAAATACTAACGACCAGAAATCAAGTTCAAGAGTCCATAAATACAATAAATATAGACAACAGAGTTAACAAGGACCTCTAAAACATGAGGAAAGGGATCAGGTGTCACGGAGGAGTACGAATCACATGTTAACATGTTGTGTGCTCCTTCTCATGTTGGCCCAAAAGAAAAAACTCTAAATTCAGTTAAAATAATAAAAAATAATCAATTACTTTTAAAAAAGTCAATTAGAAGTCAACTTAATGATAGATTCTATTTACTGAAAGGACCATTGTATCGACCATAGATCTTGTAAAATTCTGACATTATACGAGACTGTTGATATTCTTGTATTTCATAAATGTTCTTGTAAATGAAACATATGGTGATAACGAACGGTATTCAAGACGAAAAGTTCATAAAATAATGCAAAACAGGAGCAGAGCAAACACAGATTTCAAAACATAAGAGGTGGGATCAGGTGCCATGGAGGAGTGTGCATCCCCTGTCGACCGGTCACATAGGCCATATGGTCATTGTCATAATTGGGAAATAACGGAAAATCACATCGCCAATTCAGTGTATAAATAATGGACTAACAATTAGTATGACAAATGTCACTCAGCATTTGACTCAATGATAAATTGTATTTGCCATTGTATCGACCATAGAACTTACAAAGAACTTACAAAACGAGACCGCTGATATTCTTATTTCATCCTTTTGTTTGTAAATAATTTACTTATTATTATTAGAATACCTCGTTTTAGTAATTGTTTATACATAGAGCATGTTCTTGTTTATCGAATCAACTGAGACACATAAACTCCGTCTGCAGGTAATGAAGGTATATTACTGCATAAGTAAGAGAAGTTAATGATAGGAAAGTTAAAGTCATCATGTTTATCATATAGCTTGGTTGTTAGATTACCATTCACGTCTTTTTCAAGTAATATAACCAATTATGAAGCAATGTGTCAGATTCTGTGGTATCTTTGATTTCAAGCTCACCAGGATATATTGTATCGATATAAGAATGGGTATTACAATTGTTAATTGACAATACGTCGTAGTAAGTTCTATGTATCGAGTTGAAGGCCATATTCTGCTTCATATGAATGTTTTGACTGCGCATTTCAGAAACAAAATTCGTAACAGAAAAAACAAACAAACCAATATAAAATTCGTAACAGAAAAAAACAAACAAACCAATAACTGATGCCCTAATACGCCTTGATCCGGCCACAGTATTTGGTGGAAATTCTATTCTTACATCTTCGGAAAATGTGCCAGAATCACCAGTATTTATCAGCACAGGGTTGTTTAATTCCTTCTCAAGTCCTTCGGGCTGAAGCATTTATAAATTATTGGAAAATGATATTAATAATCGTTTTTTCTTTACAATGTTTGTATTTAAAACTCTCGTAATTGCCTTAAAGTAAATGAGAAAATAAGATATCTTCTAATAAAGGATAAGGTAATCGTTCCGAAAGTTTGTATTGGATCTACCCAGTTGTATATAATTGATCATATATAAAATATATTTCAAAATATATGTATTGAATATCGCTGACCTCTACTTTGAGAGTCCGGATAATGGAATCACTAGCACCAGTTGACGTGGCGGTGATATTAATTTTAAGATCACCGATCTCGGAAGGAACAATAGGAAAATAGACAGGATAGATCTCCCCAGGTGCTATCTATAATTGAATCAATATTGCAATACAATCAAGCAATAGCCAAAAAGACATAAAATGAAGGTATGGTCATACTACATCACCAGTTTTGTAGTAAAGCAAGAGGGTTCAAACAGAGTACAAGAGAATACAGATAACTTAGAGAAACTCAAAGAACAGGCTCAAGCATTGAAGTAAATATAATTTGTTTCCTACATGGGTGTATTATGCATGAGGCTATTATACTTGTTATAACTAATTTGAAGAGATATCTAAAGAGATTACTAATATTTTCCAAGTTTATTTTCCAGTTCTTAGGAGAAAAAATTATTAAAAAGAATTATCCACTTTTCTAAACTTTTGACATGATATTAAGTCTCCTCCAAAAAAAAATGTTTGTATCATCTGTCCTTAAGTAGGAAGAAAAGTATTTTGTAGATATATTAATTGATGATACAAAGTTCATACATTGAATGTTCGTCCAATTCTGAATGAAAATCTCCCGGTTTTTGCTTGGTTGTCTTTTAGGTAGGTGATGACATTTTTGAAGGCCGTGTTTTTATTAATGATAACGAGAACCTGAAAAAAGGAAATATGAAATAAAACATTTAAAATTCGCACGAAGTACGTGCACCACTCCCATTTCTGAGAAAAAATGTCGAAAATTCACCTTTCATAAATACAAATATTTTTTAGACAAACTCAATAACAATAATTGGCAAAGGCCCATTGAACATCATTTAAAAATGTTTACATAATTATTTTTCATACCTTGATATCTTTCTTTAGGTAGTTAAACACATTAACTTGAAGAACCACTAGTTCCCCTCGTATAACGGAGTAAGGCAAAGTCAGACTCACAAAGAAAGGCTGAAACACTCTAAGCTGTAATCGAATTAATACTGATACACTAAAAATCACATGGTTGTCATCTGATAAATAAAACTTGGATGAGCAAAAGAATAAAACAAAACCTATATAATGCAAGCTTTGGTTTGATCCACTGTACATGAAAATCTTTCAAATTGATTAATTAGCAATTATCATGCAATTGTTTTTATGCACTCAACGCTAAATAAATTTGCAATGAATTTTGAAAATAATGGCTAAAAAAGTTAATTTCTAGGACATATCTATTATAAACTGTTTACAGGTTAGAGATACCACAAATATTTCTCACGTTAGCAGGGGACGGGTCCAGTCCCAGTCCAGAGTTAGGGTTGACAGCAAATGCTGTAGCGACCCAGGTAGTGATAGAATCAGGAACAGGAACACTGAGTGACGTCATACCGTCCGGGCTGTAAAGATAATTGTATTATGATATAATCTTGATGACTTTGACTTTTATACTGTAACTTTCCTTAATGATGCTATGTACTATTTCCCCCTGCATATGAAGTTTATTCTTCCCAGTTAATTTAATACACAAGAGCATTTCATTTTTCTAAATTAAGACGGGTGTGTGAGAAATAAGTTTACTATATGAAATATGAAAACTATCTAGGTTAAAGTCAACAGTTTGCAAATTTTGTGTCTGGTATAATTACCTTGTCATCGATATGTCGTTATGCCGAATGTTGCCTAGACTAACGTCTTTCTTATACATTGTTAGGTCATTTTCTTCACTTTCTATAAATTTACCCCGTTAGGTCAATCATAACATTTGTAACCAGTTGACAAGGGATGGTTAATCCTCCATGGCACCTGATCCCCCTCTGTTTTCAGATATTCATGTTATCTCTGCTCATAATTAAATGATCACTGTTCGTTTTCTTTACATTTTAATTTTACAAAACAGTAATATTTAACGCATTGTGTTTAATACTTACCCTATTGTTTTATTTAACCAAAACCAGGTTTCTGGAAACAACGTTCGAACATGCTTTTTTGGTTCTGCTATAGAACCACCAATGCTTACACGTCTGTCACTTCTCATCACAGATACAATCTCGACTGTAAAATGACGTTCATTTACAGGTTACACGACTTAACTTCAAAGTATTCCAGCTTCATTTCCGCATAGAAAAGTAAAGTATATGAAAAATATATAATTTAGCCAAATTCGAAACATAATGCCACAGAATGGTAATGCAACTTCCTTTTTAATAAGATGTGTTTGTGAAACAATGATGTGACTGCTTATGGCGAAGGTTAGTTCAAGTTCAAAAGATAAAAAATTTGTTGGTACTCAATTAACCCCTTCCATGAAAAAGATTTTAAGCATTTCTAGACAAATTGATTTCAATGCAATTTCACGGTATTATTGTATTTTTTGTTTATACCAATGTTTATATATTTTGAAAGGTGGTATTTTGTAGTTTCTGGAAATGATAATTAAATATTCATTTCAGTTGCCATAGCAAGGAACTACACTATTATCATGCTGGAATTTCCATTTTTTCAATAAAGAGTTTGATTCTGGTTTATTTGATTAGTGAAATATTTTTGAAAATATGTGACTGTTGCGTTGAAAATGATCAGCTTGTTGTACATAAAAAGACAAGTTTAAGCATTTTGGGGGTTGGGGTGGGGTGGGGTGGGGGGGGGGGGTTGGGAGGTAATCACCACAATTGATTTTGATAATGGCTAAATCGCTCGAATAGTGTGCAAAGTTTGACTAGAGCTTGCAAAAAACTGGTAAAATCAACCAAAAAATTATGTGTAATATTTTATTGTAAATATTTCCTCTTTTTAAACGTGGAAGAATTATTCTGATATTTGCAGTATTAACAGAGATATGAGTGTTTGTTCACACTATACTCCTTTTTCAATCCAGATGCGTAGAAATGCTTATATTTGTTTTTTTAGAAATATACCTGTAAAATGTTACCAACCAATGCAAAGTAATAGCGAAGGTTAAAGTTTTTCAAAAACAAGTCACACAACGTCAAAGTTAAGGACAAGTGGTCGAAATGAATGGTAACCAATGAATGATGATCATTATGCTGGCATCAATATTCATTAAGATACCTATTGATTTCTGTAAGAAATTACTGCAAATTTTAATTAAATTATCAAAATGCAAAAGACAATGACTTGAGTGTCTTTTTTGTGTGGTAAACCCTTGAAGTCTTTCACGATGACATATGTTATGTAAATTATTAATCTTGAAAAGGAGAACTTAATTCTTTGAAGACGACATGTACAACAACATCGGACAAAGAGTCTTATGTGTAAGTTGAGTCATTTTGAAAAAATGAATGTTTGAAGAATTGGCTTGCAGATAAATAAACTAAATTAGCTCAAATATTATCATTATCACAGGGAAAAGTGGCTTACATGATATTCATGTGATTATCTTTTTATTTGAAAATGATGTGAAAATCATATGAAAATTATATAAATATATTTACATGTGAATATCATATGAATATAAGTTTATATGATTTTCACATATTAATCTTTTTTGAACTTTCATGTGAAGATTTCTTTGCAAGATATTTATGCAATATGCTCTTCATGTAAAATTAATATGAAATTTATGTCAAAGTCACATGAACTTTTCACATAAATTTCACATGCCTTGTTTTTCGTGACCTTTTCATGTGAAGAATTTTCGTGAGCCACTTTTGCCTGTGTATACAAATAAACAAAGATAAATACGAGGGTTGTCCCAAAAAGTCGTACACAAGGAAAGAAGTTTAGTTTCTGTTTGTTAAATTAAATTTCTTTCCTTGTCATAGCAAAAAGTATCATTTTATAATAATGCATTCAAGTTTCATGATGATATCACATCTAATAAGAAAAATATGTAAAAATAAAGAAAGAATGTATTTGTACACGGCCGCATGAAAGCAAGCGTAAATTACCTCTCCTAAAACGTCATGATTTCATTGTCTGCTTTTTATGCGTATATTAACATTCAATATTTTTTCTTAAACCGAAAGACCACTTTTGACCGAAGGACTTATCTAAATTCACTACTGTCCGTTTATTTTTTATTTGTATTTTTTAAGCAGATTCAAATTTCAGTCAAAATTTAGTCGAAAAATTCACCGATTGTAGGCAGCAGAAAATACACATTGTTTGATGTCGTTCGCTTTCCAGACTGTTCCCAATTGCCTGCGTTTAACAAACAGTACTCTACTTCTTACATTTCTTACATATCGTAACTATTTTCGGATATAGAGGAAAAACTCTCATTGAATATCATGCCATTTAGAAATAACTTCTTTATTAAGATGCGGTGTGTAATGTCACTTCTGTACCCTTTTTTCCCGTCTCTGATGTATATAGACCATATCCAACACAATTTAGTACATATCCGTGCGCCGGTTACGTGTTTGATGACATCATTTTCATCAAACTCAATTCCAACGACACTATGAAAATCATGTTACCAATCGTCTGTTTCTAAAGCACTTTATATGAAATTTTGACTTATTATCCAGCTTTTGATTCTAATTTCAGTGATTTAAATTTGAGTTCAATGTATTACTACTACTTAGTACTAACGAAATAAAAGCAAATGTAATACTTATATGAGTAAATTATTCAGAATTTTGTTTGTGCGCCGGCAGGCCTTATCGGCCTTCATATAAATCGTCATAATATCATTAATATGAAAGATATATATTTAAAAATTCACAACTTTAAAGAGCTTTGAATATATTATTTCTATGCCAAATTTGGTTAGTATTGGTTGCATGTTTAAGAAATTATAAACATTGTCTACGACTTCTAGGGACAACTCTCATATTAATAATATTATAATATCTATAATGGAATGATATTAATATCGATAATACTGATAATATTTTACTGTCATATTTTATCATTACAATGTAAAATGTTAATAATTTATCTCTTGATCACATATCAGCATTAACATGTAACCAATTTTTGACAAAATGAACGGAAGTGGGATACAATACTCACAAGGAGGACGTGGGGTTTTATAAACCATGGCGTCCGTAAGAACAGCTAAATTGTTCTCCTACAAACACAAGCAGTAAACAAGAATACTTAAAGCTTCCTGACTAAAAATAAAAAAAAATACTTACCACCCCCCCCCGCATTTTTTGTAAATTTATACTCCAAGAATAGGTTCCATGGACCTCAACGCTCACTTACATCACCCAAGAGCTGCTGATTATTTGGTAATTTAAAATAACTTTTCCATTTGCATTACCCTGGCTCTAAGGGGCTAAGACTAAGTTAAAATTGAATCAATATTCATCTTGAGGGGAAAACTGATTTGTACAAATTACATAATAGTGTGCTACATAATACTGATAACATATCAATTAAAATTGTCAAGGATATATGGTTATATAGATTTTTTTTCCCAAAAATCTTATACATATAAAAGGACTGTTTGGTAAAATCATGGACAAAGTGTTTGATAAGATATAGACGAAGAAATACTTTATCATATTTGAATATGCATGAGGTACAGTCCTATGGCGCACGATTGATAAAAAACCAGGGTATCATTAGAGAATACACGACTATTATTTCGAAATAAATGTATTAAATAGAAGAGATTTGGGTAACAATTATGCTATTTTTAATCCACTATTCTAATGCAATTGTTTTGTAAAACACGTTTTGATTGGCTAATGCACTGATGTTTGAAGCAGTAAAACGAGCATTAACGTGCGTGAAAGCTTTTTCATTGTGACGTCATAATAGAGCGACGCAAAAACATAATGCTCCGTGACCTATTTCATGTAACAAAATTCAACAAAATAAGACGTAAACAACAAACAAAATGCATGGATTGCATTAGAATGGGAATAACTAATCTTCTAATTTGGTATTTGCGACCGTTAATGCTGATTTAACGGTCGCAAACATCCGTTTTACCGGCTCCGCTTTCGCGTCGCCGGTAAAACTCAGTTTTCGAACGTTAAATAAGCATTAACGGTCGCAAATACCAAATTAGAAGATAGTTATTCCCTAAATCTATTGTGTCGTCATTTCAATGCATTTCCTTAATTTTTTGTATTTGAAATGGTAGAGTCGTAAACACAACACACAAGAAGACCACGTTCGATGACGTTACCGGAAAGCAGTTCAGTTTGCTTTAGATGAATTAATGACGCCCTAAAAGTCTCAAAATGAATACAGAAGAAAATAATAGATAAAAATATCACTAGATCTTTAGTATACAAGTGACACGTAAGTTTTCCCAGCGAAATGGTTTTTGATCGAGTCTCCGTGCATTACAATCAGCTGTGGGAAAGCGAAAGATACCGTCATTGTTGACCGTCAATATAAGAGAGCCTACTCAGTTGAATGATAAATATTCAGAATGTCCCATGTGTGTGCGAGGTTGGTTACCCAACTATTTATGGAGGAATAAAGGGAAAATCAAGCATGCATCAATGAAATTTCCAAATTTAAGTTGGAATTATCCAACTATTTTTAACATTGGAAACATGACGCTGCTTTAGACACTTTTGACGATATCATCCGTGCGCAGTAGGGTGATACAACACATAACATAAAATCTCCTATTTTGTTCATTTATGCATATATCTATTTGAAATTTGTTTTATATATTGATAAAAAAGTACTAATGAGTAGCGAAAACGTTAGAATGCAGTGAACTTTAGTGAAGATTATTATTCACTCTAGAAAACTTGTGAACGATTTTACCTGACAACCCTAGTATATCTGTAACGTAATGTTTTAAAATCCTATTTTATTCTGCTTTCATGTTAAATACTAAAATCTGATTGGTTTAGCTGCAGTTAACAATCCGTTCTATTACCCTTCGCCTTAGCAACACACGTGACAACGGGTAACACAACGGTGATGCCACATGCGTGCAAATCATGCGCGTACGGTTCACCATAGAATTCTCAACACGTCAGTTGTGCGTTTGAAAGAAGTCGAATAAACGACGTCAATAAAGCTTGCGTCCGATGTAGCTTACTTGTAAACAATAAACGACAGACGAAACATGCTTGCGAGTGCAGAAATAACGAAAATTTTGGATTTTCTAAGAATCAAACAAACAAATAATAGGTCGGTAAATCTTTTCGAAGCTTTCTTATGAATAAAATAGAAGCGGGGAGTTTGAAGCTTTTCTAAATGTGAACGTAAAGACGATCGAAGATTTTTTTCCTGACATCCTAAGTCAATAAGACATTCAGTATAATGAAATAAATGGTGCCTGTTTTGGAGGGTAACAGTTGAAATTGACACCCCTCGGAAAACCATTGTCAACCTCCGCTAACGCGTCTTTTGACAATAGTTTTCCTTGGTGTGTTAATTTCAACTGTTACCCTCCAAAACAGGCTCCATTGATATAGTGTCGTATATTAACCTCCTCCTAATTGATGGATTGATTGTATGCTGTTTAACGTTCCCCTCTAGAATTTTCTTTATATGGAGACGCTACTACTTGCCGGTGGAGAGCTCTAATTCTGTCCTATACTCGGCACTTAGGGCCATTGATCAGTGAGGGATCTTTTTCTTAACAACACCTACTGCAACCTTAGACCTCAGTTAATACGGTCTCATCCAAAGTACCGGTCACCATGTCACACAGTGGGATTTGAATGCGCGACGCAAGAATCGACTTTTATTTAGCAACTCTAGAGCAAACGCTCTAAACACTGCGCCACAAAGGTGATCCCTCCTTCTTGAAGAAGGCATGATTTTACAATTTGTTAAGTTATCTTAGGTCAGTAACCTTTTGTCTAAGTTTAACATAGGAATATAGGAAAATGTCTTTAAAAATCTTCTCAAAAACAGCACAGTTATTATTATTCATGTTTGTTTGGAAGTATACTCAGGGTAGTGTAGACTCAAAAATGTTCGAGAGAATTTTTTAGAAGATGAAGAGTTTTAGAATGTTCCACCTTTTTGTTTGCTTATCTGATTATCTCTTTTTTTGAATTCGTTTCATTCAAGGGAATCTTGTGGAAAATTTGATTATTATAAGTCCTGAATATAGAGTACTGAAGAAAGAGTCCAATCGTACTGAAAGAAGAAAACCTAAGACTAAAACAAAATAATAATGAGAGAAAACACCAATATAAAAAAGATTGTCAAGATGTAGGGGAAGACGACTGATTTAACAGACACTACCCATACTGAGATATCAGTTAGACGAAGGGTAGGACGACTGACCGGGGTCCATAACGAATCCAATGCATCCACAAATACACTAGGACAGAGAAGATTGTCAGAATCTATGGACATATAATACAGATGAAAAAATACAAATACAAGAGTACAGAGAAGATTGTAAGAATGAAAGGACAAAAATAGAGATAGCAAACCACCAATACACTGTTACATGGAAAATTGTCAGGATATAAGGATGGACAATAGAGATGGCAAACCACCAATACACTGGTACCTGGAAAATTGTCAGGATATAAGGATGGACAATAGAGATTGCAAACCATCAATACACTGTTACATGGAAAATTATCTAGATATAAGGATGGACAATAAAGATGGCACACCAACAATACACTGGTACCTGGAATATTGTCAGGATATAAGGATGGACAATAAAGATGGCAAACCAACAATACACTGGTACCTGGAAAATTGTCAGGATATAAGGATGGACAATAGAGATGGCAAACCAACAATACACTGTTACATGGAAAATTATCTGGATATAAGGATGGACAATAGAGATGACAAACCACCAATACACTGGTACCTGGAAAATTGTCAGGATATAAGGATGGACAATAGAGATGGCAAACCACCAATACACTGTTACATGTAAAAATTGTCAGGATATAAGGATGGACAATAGAGATGGCAAACCACCAATACACTGTTACATGGAAAATTATCTGGATATAAGGATGGACAATAGAGATTGCAAACCACCAATACACTGTTACATGGAAAATTATCTAGATATAAGGATGGACAATAGAGATGGCAAACCACCAATACACTGGTACCTGGAAAATTGTCAGGATATAAGGATGGACAATAGTGATGGCAAACCACCAATACACTGTTACATGGAAAGTTATCTGGATATAAGGATGGACAATAAAGATGGCAAACCACCAATACACTGGTACCTGGAAAATTGTCAGGATATAAGGATGGTAAATAAAGATGGCAAACCACCAATACACTGGTACCTGGAAAATTGTCAGGATATAAGGATGGACAATAGAGATGGGAAACCACCAATACACTGGTACCTTGAAAATTGTCTGGATATAAGGCCGGGCAATACAGATAAAAAACCACCAATACACGGTAACATAGAAAATTGTCAGGACATAAGGATGGACATTACAGATGACAAATTACCCATACATAAGATTGTCAGGAACTATGGACAAAGAATAGAGAGGTAAAATCACCCATACACTAGTGCAGAGTAAATCGTCAGCATCTCGGTGCAAATAATAGAAATGAAATACCACCAATACACTTATACAGAAAATATATTCAGGACCTAGGGAAAAACAATGGAGATTACAAATCATCAATGCATTAGTGCAGAGTAAATCGTCAGGATTTCGGTGCAAATAATAGAAATAAGATTCCAGCAATACACTTATAAAGAGATTGTTGTCAGGACACAGGGACAAAGAATGGAGATGACAAACTGCCAAAACAGAAAAAGGTGGTCAGTCATTATGTGTGTACATTACTGATACAAATGTCATAATGTATAATGAATCTTTCTGATACATCAATTGGTACAACATGTGTCAGTATTTTTTTCTCTATTTGATCGTTTAAAAGTTCAAAAGATCACACACACACACACACACACACACACCCTCACACACACACACACACACCCCTACGTGTTTGGACTTCGATCTGGGGACCCTGCCAAAAAATCTTAAATTGGGGACTAAGCGATTTCGTGGCAGAATTGGTATTGTTTAACTTATTTTACCCCGTAGGTATCCTGGAATAAGTAAATAAACTGAGTCTTTGAGCTAGAATGATATATTCATAAATTTAGAAAATGGGGACCCGGAA